CGCTGATTCAGATACTAAACTTAATGCCTATAAAAGTTTTGTTAGACCTGTGTTAGATTACGCCAGTTCACTGTGGCACCCTCACACACAAACTGGTATTCTCAGGCTTGCAGGTATTCAGAAACTAGCTGCTCGGTTAATTTTTAATACTTTTCGTACAGGAACCTCATCTACAGAACTGCTTCTCAGGGTGCAGCTTCAGCAATTGCAAACAAGAGCAAAAATTGATAGATTAAAAGTACTGTAGAATATTCTTAACGGCACTATTCAAACCAAAAGCTCTAGCTACTTAGAACCATTATTGACAGGGTCCCGACACCTAAACCATACTAGAGCATTGAAACAATACAGGTCTAAGAATGACTGTTCTGGATATTCTTTCTTTCCTCTGGGAATTCAAGATTAGAATGAGCTACCAAGCAATATTGTCATTCTAACACCTGTTTAAAATTTCATTACTCCTGTGGAAAGTTTACTTACCCGAGTTTTTTCTTTTTCTATTTATGACTGTACCCACTTCTACTAAGGCTCCTTGAGTGGAGATAGTGGTATTTCCAAATAAATAAATAAAAAGGATTCAAGCCCAGAACTTCATGAAATCAGTAGCAAAGAGGGCATGCATGTGACCTCTGGACTACCAGCACATCCGTTTTGGGCCGCTATTTTTCAGAGCTGTAGTCCTAGGACGTTGACTAGTTTTCCCAGGATCGGCTTTAGGGTTGCGAGTATTCCTCCTTTACCACAATCTTCCTCAGCAGTAACTTTACATGCCACTCCTTAAATACAGTAGGGCGAGTCATTTTGCTTATATTTCCAACTTTCTCGTCCTTTTTCTGCAAACACGTCAGCAATTTCCTGGTTGACACGAGAACATATTTGAAGCTCATCATTTGACAATTGTACCGGGACGCAACTTGACAGATCGAAGTTCCAAACAAATCCTCCTAACTCTCCTCTGTAGCATGACATACGGTAGCACAAACAACGTAGTGTCTGCGTACGGCTCCGACTGCGGTTTAAAGGGAAGCTGAAGAGCTTTTCGAAAAAAAATGAGTTAATGGTTGATTCTGACGCGTTTGTGCCTGCTGAGTCCAAATATCACAACCATTTGACCCAAAATAATCCCTAAACGTGAAAAAAAGCGAAGAAATCAGAAGCGATCGCCGCAGCGGCACGCCATTGGCTAGCCACGCGTGACGCGCCACTACGCCGTAAAAGGACCATCTCGATTCTCGTTTGCTCCGTCGCTTCCGGAAGTAGCCGGGCGCCGGGTCTTCTGCTCTTGTAAATCGGGTTCGGCTTCTGATTTTTCGAAATCTCTCGGTGGATCCGAAAGAGGAATGTGTCCAGACGACCCTCGACGTGACAAAGTACGCGTTCGAGCCGTTGGCAAAGTAGGAAAATGACCCCCCGCAGTAATAAACACAGAGATGAGGAACAGCTTGCGCGGACACGAGCGACATGGCCGGCTTTGTATCTTCAGGAACGTACTGACCGCTACTTATTGTAACCTAAAACGTTGACAATAAACGGAGTGCTATTGACGGGACGCCTCAAGCCGGATTAGCGCAACCCTTCTCAAAACGGTTCGTCAGAGGACAGGAATTTTGCGCACATCGGCCTTCGTGCTTGCCAGCTGGTGGACGCGTGAGCGTGCAGACTGCATTGTTCATCAAGGCTGAAATGGTTTGAAGGGATAGTATAATCGGGCTTCGGGCGACGGGAGAGCTTCCCCTGAGATGAGACGGGTGATAAGATTGGGTCGCCGTCCTGCCAACGCCATGTCCTTGGGCACTATGCGTATAACTGCGCAAAAGGTCCATTCTTGTCATAGCAGTACCCTCTGTTGCGTTTAGTTTGTTTGCCGCAAACTAAAGCGGAGAGGTGTGCCCACACCCCTTAATTTTATGTCGAATTCGTTAAAGCTTCCTGGGCCTCTACATTCGCATACTTCTACCAAGATTCGTTGACTGCATCACACCGCCACCAGGCATTATCATCGTCCGATCGCATTTCTACTGCACAAAGAATTGTTGCATTACACAAACTTTATACGGAAAACACTGCGTAACTTGTAAAAAAAGAACTCAATTCAGAACAGAAGGTCACATGCTTTATATTTCCACAAGGCTCTCCTGAAGAGAATATGAACCTTTGGAAGGAAAATTTAACACAATTTAGGTTTACGTTTAAAAATTATGTGACCTCGAATAATGTCAGCAACTGTAAAAAAAAAGTTTATGCTAAAACAAGTTGCACCGTGAAAGTCGCATTATGAATTGCATGACTACTTATTAGAGCAAGCCCTCCTCTCCCAAGTGACTGGGTAGCCGAGTAGATTAAAAGCAAAAGAAAATAATCTTGGGCTACCCAAGATTGTTGTCTTTTGTTTCCCAGATTTCCCGGACTGAAGTCGGTCTGGAAAATATGGTCACTTCAACAATATAAGAAATCAACACTAAAACACTAATATAAGGCGGTTAACACAAGAGAGCGAATAGAAACCCGCTATTCGCGGCTAAATGATCGCGGCTTTTCTAGCACATTGCACAATTCTAATAACGTTATAGTTTTTTTTCTAGAACAGTCGACCTACAATTCCTAGCCAGTTACGTTTCCTCTTGGCTTGTGACTTTTAATGCGCTGAATTGCCTTTGTACTTTCAAAGATGGTCGGCAGAGCGTCGGATTCAGGCAAGCCTTCTTCAGACCCAAACCCATACGTACATAGTTTTCATATGCGCCGTCCGAAACACGTTTCGAACAAAAAACGGTGTATGTGCTCAAACCCGCCACCCCTTTAAAATCTCGGGGACGAAGTGGAAAAGTCAGTAAGCGGGAAGAACAACTGCGACGAGCGCTGTTCGTGAAAGTTGGCGGCTACACAGGAGTACGGCGTCGTGCAACACAGCACGAGTCACTTGGTTCGGTGCCACGAGAATTCCGCAAACCCGTGAACAAACAAGAAAACAATCAACACGTCAGACGATTGAGTCAGTAGCATGACCACTCAAGGGATAAAAGCAAGCGCTTTGCAGCGGCAGAACGACGACGGCTCGAAAAGACGCAGCCTACGAGGAAAGCGCGGCCACCCGCGGCGGGGTCCCCCAGCCGGTCCTTTTGTGGCGCCGGCTGTTGGGCTTCCTCCTCTCTCCCCTTTCCCTCTGCTTCGGAGAGGCGTGGCTTCGGCGCTCCTTTGAAGGCGCTTTTCCGGTTAATCCGCGCAGAAAATGACCAAACGAATACGATATTCGTGATGGGTGAGGTCTCGTTAGCTAGGTTCAGGTGTTTTTTCTCATATTTAAAACCGCTTCAGCTTCCCTTTAATAGGCGACGCTAGAGCTCAATGGGGTCAGCCACCTTACAAGTATCTGAGAAGTATCTGAGCATAATAACAGATGCCAGATGTCACCCGTTTACTTGCGTGCGTGATGTCATTATGGCATCGCTGTTGGAGCGATATCTAACACTCTAGATCCGTCCATCAAGTCCGGTCCTAATCGCCGTCTTCCGCAGACAAAATTTTCTGTATATAGTTCTCACATGACGTCCCTTCCTCTACTCCTGCCCGCCGGCCGCCATTGCCAGGAACTGAGAACCAGACGCAAACGCTGCTGCCACCGCATGTGCATCGCTTGATTGCTACTTCGCTACAGAATCTGTATTGCCCGTACAGTCAATGGCGAAGGCCATTAGCTGCGAGTTCTTCCCTTCCTATTTCGAAGAGCTTATGGGTCCCAGACAGGCTCGGTACGAGTCTAAAGTGATGATGTGTGACGGCGTCGATCAGTACACGCTACACATCGGCGCGGACACCACTTCAGATGCAGACGTGCAGCCAGCCACGACGCATGTGGACATAATTAACTACCTGGTTTTGTCAACGAACTATGTGCCGCTGCAACAGATGAAGGCCTCCAAGGCCCTGGATGCCTATAACTATTTCACGAGTGGATGGGTGAAGAGCCTGACAGCGATGGGTCTCCCATCGAAGCGTATTGTTGTGCTGAGCGAGGCGAGCTGACAGGCAATAAAACAAGCCACAGGAGAGCTGAAGAGCCAAAGGTTTGCCAGCAAACGAAGAGATGTGCCCGTACTTGCCGCATTAGAATTCACAGCATCTTAGCTGGGTGAACTCGGCGCCACCACCGCAAAACCATAGACACGCTCCAAACACTACACTATTACAGAAACGCCGCGAGAAAGGTAAAAGCACACCCCTGCAGTGTGACGCTACCAGACACCAAACACTGCCTCGGCCGATATGGCAATGCGCACAGGGTAAAAACCAGAAGCATCCAGCAATCCAACTACAGTAGAGTAATATATTTCTTACCTGGAAATACGTGACGACCGCAGACACGGACACTTCCAACGTATACAAGCAAGCCAGAGGCTTCGGCGTTTCTCGGATAGCAGTTTGATACGCTCACACCGTCGCATCATCTCCTTTGTTAAACGGTGCAGCTCTACATTAAGCTATGTGTTACTCTGCTGTGCAGAGGACTTGCGTCTGCTTCGGCAGCTGAACATCGCACACATCGGCATGATTGCACCACTGCGACCGCGACCACACACCAGAAGCAAGTAACGTGCACTGTGTGCGCTGCAAATGCCGTAGCGAAGCAGACAACGCAGCAGCGGCCAACATAGCCGGCGCCGATCCCGAAACTATGTCAGTGCCTGGTATGGTGCTGACATATCCTATAAACTGGGAAACCAAAAGTATCCTTTTTATGCTAGTAAACTTACCCGGACAATCAAAAGAATTAATGTGGCTAGCATAATAAAGGACAAGGATTTCAAATGCATGTACACAACTGCTCAGATAAGCCGAGCTTGTCTCTGTCAAATAGGCTCCTGCAAAAGACCATAGCTTCATGTGCCTGCATGCCCGAGAAATCACTCCTACGAGAACATCTTAAAAAACAAGGCAATACTGTACTCTTCTACATATAAACAAGGAACGCCGGAATTCACCAGTCACGCCATGTTGCTCACATGCTCTGATGCTGATCTTGTGGCTGTGTGTTGCGGAATAGCGAATCAAGAAGGTTCTCTCCACCAGCATCACTGGTCGCCTCGACCTGGCCGCTGGCACTGGCTTCCATGTTTCCGTTGGTTGTCATCTCCGCGTCGCTAGCCGCTGTCCAAGAGAAGCGAGAGATGGTGTTCGGTTATGCTGCTCAAATCGACCGACAACTTGCGATCGGCGTGACTTTATACAGTTTCGAACTTCAATTTTCGCCGCAACTGCGTTATGCGGATCGAGTGTTTAGTGACGACACAGCAAACACATAACCGATTTTGAGTGACCTCGCTTGCTCGAGAAGACAGCGAACTTTAGATCAACGATAAGAAGTAAACAGCAATCGCCGGGTACGCAAGGACTACACCGTGGCCCGAACATTTGAAACTCCTTTTGTTTGCCCGCACGTGAACATCTGAGGAACGCAGATCGCCGCCGAGCTTTCGTTGCCAGATTCAGAAAACATCGCCACCAACAAACGATGAACGAAATAATAGAGGATCCTAAGAATAAGCTAGTTATTGCAAATCCCATCCGCCTGTTTTGATAGCGCGTTTTCTTTTTTTTCTTTCCCCCCCCCCCCCCCTAGAGGAATCTGAAATTAGTTGTCAGAAGACTTAGGCTTAAGAGGAATTATTTCCAACTCACTAGGAGGTTCGTAAGCCTTTCCGACACGAAGAATGTGCTTGAGCAATCTCGTAGCCTCATTCGCATCGATAGAACCGTCGTGGCTGTTCATTTTTAAACGCAAACAGTCTTTTGTAGGCGTCGTGACACAAGCCACAGACGCAGCGTTCAAGCAAAACTACACGGCGTTTGCTTGCGGTCCCAACAATCACGTAGGCGCGACACAATCTAAACATTTCATACTGCACAGGATGGCAACGGCACTACAAGTCGGTAGATTTGTTTTACCATTTACAGTGTAATTACGTTTGTAGATGGTTTTTGCTTGTTTGAGGAGAAGGAGTGAATTATATTTGACGGTAGCTTACACAGATGATGTTAGCCACTTGACCAAGGGACGGAAGTGCAAGAACTTTGCATGCACGCTCACCACGCTCACCCTGACAGGCCTTCTGACCCTCCCCCACCCCCCAAACAAACTATGTTCAAAGAAAAAAAAAATATTATCAGACCGAAGAAAAGGGGTAATTTTATATGAACTCAAAAGAAACAATTAGAAGGAAACCCTCACGACTTGCATTACAAGTTAACATATTCGTTTCAGCGTTTACAGGGTTCACAGTAAAATCAGTAAAATCATAATGTGACACACAAAAAAAAAAAAAATAATAATAAGAAACTTTCGAATCGAAGGAAAAGACAACAGTAAGAGACAACCTAACAGTAGAGCGTCCCAAAATGATTAATGATTAAGATTAATTATCACCACCTCCCCTGCACATTCAGTTTTTATTAAAATCACTTCTCAACTTTTTATTATTTCTTTTTTTTCTAAAAAGGGGCGAGGAAGAAACGATTAATATTTGACGGCACTTACAGATGATGTTACCCACTTCACTAAGACCTAATGACCGAAAATGCACTTCGCATGCCCGCCCTTGCGCTGGTGGAATCCGTGGCACCAATGGAACCGCGAATTCCACCAACGAAGAGATGGTCTGCACCACATGCGGCCCATGTGTTCGCCTCACGCCGGCAAGAGAAATGTACTACGAGAAAGATCGCGGGGCTGAGATAACTAAGCCGACTGAGCGATAAGCCGAAGGACGGGAGAGGGGCTGGAAGAGCAAATAAAAGACTAGGTTTTCATTTGCGGTGGCGGCAGTGCTCGCCGTGCGTCGGCGGGTTCACGCACAGCTCCAGTGGAGCAAATCAGGTATTCGGTTTCCGGACGGCCCGCGAGCCCGCTGACGCGGAAGGTCTCGTCGTGCGTCGCGATGTGTGGTGCGCGTTTACGTCACTCGGTTTTGCTTTTCTTTTAACCCTCAGTAACAGGCCTTGTTGCCACTTGGCGCACCGAAACTGTCGCAGCCGCCGGAGAAGGGGCCAGGCTGGCCAAGCGTGCGCGAAACGTGTGCGCAGTAGGCGCTGCTGCGTCTGTTGACTGCTGGTCGGTCCTGCGAGCGCTTACTGGGCCCAAGGGACGGGTTCGTGGGACGCGCTTTCTCCGGGCCAGGACGACTCCCGGCGGGGTTGGACCCGAAGGATGAGCAAGCCGAAAAGCAACAACCACTACGACCCAAAGATAGCGGGACTCTACGATCTGGGCGATACTCTGGGCAGAGGCCATTTTGCGGTGGTGAAGCTCGCTCGGCATGTGTTCACGGGCGAGCAAGTGGCCGTCAAGGTGATCGACAAGACCAAGCTGGACGACGTGTCCCGGGCCCACCTGTTCCAGGAGGTGCGCTGCATGAAGCTGGTGCAGCACCCCAACGTGGTGCGCCTCTACGAGGTGATCGACACCCAGACCAAGCTGTACCTCATCCTTGAGTACGGAGACGGCGGCGACATGTACGATTACATCATGAAGCACGACCACGGCGTCGACGAGCAGGCGGCTAGGAAGTACTTCCGACAGATTGTGCACGCCATCTGGTACTGCCACAAACTGCACGTCGTGCATCGCGACCTCAAGCCGGAGAACGTGGTCTTCTTCGAGAAACTCGAGATGGTCAAGCTGACCGACTTTGGCTTCAGCAACAAGTTCTGCCCGGGACAGAAACTCGAGACGTCGTGCGGTTCCTTGGCCTACTCGGCTCCGGAGATCCTGCTGGGCGATTCGTACGATGCGCCCAAAGTCGGTGAGCCGCTCCCGAACCTCGCGCTCCGGTCGCCATCGTTTCTGTCCGCCGCTTCCCCCGCCGGCCGCTCGCTGGGCCGCCGGTGGATGCACACCGAGCACGGCCGTACAATTCCAAGCGCGTCGAGGAAAAAGAAGACGGACGTGGGTTGCGCAATGCCCTTGGCTTTTGCCGAGGGCAGCGAGGAAAAGCGGCAAAAGGCCGGCAACTCTCCGCTCGGGAAAAGCTCGGAAAACGCGCTGCTCCCGCGAGCATTTTGGGGCGGACGGGGTAGCAGTGGTGGCCGATGGTTGCAGGCAGAGCTCGGGCAGTCCCCTGTCGAAGAAACGCGGCCACTACGCAGGTCTTTTCGTAGCGCTGACGCGATTACAGTGCACAACTCCAGATTTGAAGTTTAATCGGAGTAGGACGTCGGGTTTACCTCGCAGTGAAACGTTGGATCAGTTCCTTATTTGCCGCAAAGTTACAAAGATGCATAAAAAAAAAAAGGGGGGGGGAGGGGGGGGGGGGGGGCACATTTTTTGTCCCTTTCGAAATTCCTCTTGATGAGAATTGCAGCGCTGTCGATTCAGTTGCGTGTAGAGCTCGACACAGTAAACCCAAACATTATCGGTTTGCGCGGACGGTTGAAATGCTGCCGTCAAAACTACAGGTGTAGTGAAAAACGAGCCGTCTGTGGTATAAATGATTTCTTTTTACGGCTGCCGAGTTCTGCAGAACAACGGTTGTTTTCTGTAATATACTTGCACTGTGCGTATGTGCGGCACCAACTTCCGTAGTTCGAGTAAAGCTCAAAGGTAAGGGAAGCTGATACGAAATCTGCTACTAGCTTCTCCTGGGATGCCTCGGACCCTTCTGGCGCCTAGCAGAGCTGTTTGTCGACTGCTCAGCGTTCTTAGGAGCTTTGTTGGCAAGACCCACTTCAGTAGGAAAATTGGACCTAGTGTTAGCATTAGAAATAAACTATGAAGGAAAAAAAAAAAAAAAAAAAAAAAGCCAATGTTTTGGTTAGTTCATTTGTCGTGTTATGCATGAAGGGCCCATGTCACTAGTGTTATTACGCTCGTTGAATGATATTGTCAAACTCCCTCAGGAGCCAAGTTTATTATAAGATTGTGCTTAGCACCTAATAACTCCAATAATCAAACCCAAGCATATTTCGAGTGTTTTATATTTCCTTCCTATGCACATGTGCATGTTTGCTGTACTGTAATAGCATTTTATTTTCTTTCTTCATAACTTTCCAGGGAAGAGATTTGAAATGTGGCAAGTATTTGAAATTGGATCCCCTTTTTCAAGCTCGCTGGCTAAAACAATTTTGACTCCACATGGCAAGAACCTGCACGAGCACCTACTTGCATGTCTCCCCTCCCCCCCCCCCCCCCCCCCCCCCCCCCCCAAAAAAAAAAAGTGCAAACACAATCTTTAGCTGTAGGCTACATGATCATGAATGGTACACAGTGCATCCCTGAAAACTAACGGCATACCAGGCAATAGAAGAGGTGCATATTCTGTCTTTGCACCTGGCAATATTGATAAACTGACACAATGCTAGGGACATATTCCTGGTATGGCAATAAACCGATCTCACCAAACAGTTTTGTTATGCTGCCGCAATACATCGAGGGAGCTTCAGTCTTTCTGTAACTGTAACTTTCTGCAGTAACCTCGCTGAGGGGCTCAGCGTGGAGCCCGGGGCGGCATGAGCAGTCTAGCACACTGCCACCTGCCTCCTGTGGACTAAAATTATTGTGGCGTCACACTTGCACCGAACGCTTGGCTGTTGTATTCGACCGCAACAATCGCTAACTTTTGGTGATGCAGTAATGATGAATACCCGTCTAAATGTTTTGCCATATTCACCTTCTAAATAGTGGTATGCATAGATTATATCGGCATCTGTAATTTTGGCACTCCTGCATTACGAGTTCCCGACAAGATGCCGCGTAAAAACGTAGGCATTATTTTCATTGTGATACAACTGACATTTGTCGGTATTTATTTTACTTGGGTGTGACCTCAGAACTTAAAATCATTGAAAGGTCACGTTGAAAAAGCAAACGGTGGTGCACAAAAGCAGGTGAAAGTGCAGCATTATAAATGCGAGAAATTTAGTCCTTCTTTTTGCTGAAACTTTTCAAACTTCCTTGTCCTCAGAATAGCATCGTTACCATGACCAGTGGCACCATTAATCAGGCTGTGCAGTATGTACAGAGCACAGTGCAGCACAAACAAGCAATCACTAATTTTTTGCCCTTCTCTCACAATTGAAGGGCTACCCAAACTACCGCGCTAATCCCAGGTACTCGCCTAGGTGATAAATATTGATGTTCATCAATACCGTTTTAAGCAGAAATCGAAAAGTGCTGATGTCTTGTTTGCATGAACTGCATCACAGCGTACCGGGCATCTCGAAAGTATTTGCAGGTTTTTTTTTTTCAGTGCAAAAATAAACTATGCATCGCTAAACGGTTGGTCTCCGCCCAAATGTAGCACTAGCAGTCCGGACCAGACGCCAAAGTTGCAGAACCAGCCATTATACAATTAAAAAGTTGCAAGCGATTTTCAGAAATTTCCTTTGAGAAGATTGTGACTGACAAAGCTCACAAAATACATAAAGATGAATGGCATTGGCTAACGGAAACAAGCCCCGTTTTCTCATTAAAAATTTCAAAAAATTGCTTATAACATGAATCGGACAATGGCAAGCTATGAAACTTTGGCGTCTGGTCCGAACTGCTAGCGCTCCATTTGGGACGTGACAGTGTTTGGCAATGCATAAATTAAATTTAAATTTTTTTTTTTAGGGACATTTTGTATGATCAAAGTACTGGGAATAAGATAAAACTATTGGTCAGTTGGATTTTGGGTGCACTAGTCCGTCACAATACTATTCAGTGTACATGTATCAGTGTGTTAATTGGTAAACATAAATGAACCGGAAACCCTAGTTCCATTTGCTGTGAAGTGATTGTGGTACAAATGAAGACTGGATTAGAGCCTTTTTGAATATTTGCATCGTATATTTATATTGCTAGCCAGAACAAGTAAGATGAACCTGTTTCAAGCTTTTTACACAGCTTTGTTTTGGTATTTAGGACTTGGGTTTTTGTGCAAATTCAGTAGTGTAAAGCTGGGGTACACTTTTGTCTTTTAGGTTTAAATTTTCAAAATGGGGAGGGTAAAAATCAAGTGCTATTTTTCAAACCCATTATCGGGGAGAAATCGGATATTTCTGGAAATCATTCCGGAATTCAGGTCATATATGTATAAATAGATAACTATAGAAACTGCAGTTTATAGTAAATACCAATGATTAATTTTGGGAGGAGAAGTGTTTTATTTATGCAGTCATTAAAATACAGGGCAATAGCATAGAAACATGGTGTTTGAGCTCGAGTTGCTCTTTTCAGTTGCATACTGAACACCCTTATCCATCCTAGACCTATCCGGTCCTTGGACATGTCTGGAAGAATGTCCTCTCAATGTTGCGACTTCCATTTGCAGTGCACAAAAATGTCCGTGTGGCATTTGCTAGGCTGGAATAGCACACAATGACATCACACCAGGTCAATAAATACAGATCCAGAATTGCTCCCAATTTCCATGCCTTGAGCGAATTGATGGCCCTTGCACATTTATCGAAACACTCGGCGGCTTTTCGGGAAGAAAATTGGGCTTAACCAAATCTTTGTGAAACTTGTTTGGGGTGAAAACTCGGGAAATATTCAGTTTTGTTCAAACAAGGTATGTCCAACTCACAGCACTGGCCAAATCTTGGATCAGGAACATATAGAGCTAAAATCCAGGAAATAGACACTTCACGCAACGTTATGCAACCTCGAAAGGGAAGCTATAGAACATGTAATTTTAAGGTGCACAGGGCTTCGTCCCATCCTCTTGAGGGGGATGACTACGGATTTGGAAGGGGCACTGGGATTTTCAGACATGGATGGACGAATGGATAGGGAAAGAATTGCGGTAGCCAAGAGGATATTTGAAGATTGGTGGAAATGATCTAGGGAGAGGTGAATATACAGAAAAAAATAAGCAATGGGAACACTTTGAAAGGGGGGGAGAGAGGGGACGGTTGTGTTAGAACAAGATTTACACAAATTTAAAAAAAAAAGTGATGCCAAAATGTCAGGCTAGTTGGCAAAAAGCTGCTACCCATTACAAAACGTATAGCCATTACTATCCACCCATCCGGCACTTACCTTACATGCATTCGCTGCTGAACTTCTTTATTCCAAAAACAAAAAAAAGGGTGTGTAATATTTGTGCCTGCCAGGGGACACATTAGAATTCAGAGACGAATCTGAAACTATTTTCTATTTTGGGGTTAACGTCTCCATAACGACGTAAATTTCGGTTTCACTTCAAACTCAAGATGTCTCTAGATGTAATTATTAAACTCTAATATTTCGCGAAAAAATTAGTTTTCAACATTTAAAAAATTTAAAATTAAACATTTAATATATATATTTTTTTTTTTTTAGGCAACACTTGACACAGAACTGTATATTACATCATGTATTCATGAATATCTTGATAATGATGCAAGAGTTTTTCGTATGCTTAAAATAAGGCCTTTCCGTTGAAGCAAGTAGGCAGGCGAGCAGGTTAGGGATACACATGGCAACCCTAGAGCGAGGGGACGGACAGATACGAAGCTCCGTCTATTTTTGCGATTGTGGCATTTTTGGGGAACCTACATTATCGCTATGTGTATTAATAATAAAATTAATATGTGTTAATATGTAGCAGTTCCGCAGTGCACGCTGCGCAGTACCGAAGGACCCTTGCCAGAGGCGCTTCCCCATTTCCGCCGAAAGAGGGCGAGCAACGAGCTGTGAATAGTTTTGACAATGGCCCTCCGACCATGCGAGAAAACTATACAACATTAGAGTTCACCGTGTTGTGCATGGTACATGCCTACCGCCGCTAAGTCCATGTGAAAGGACCACCTAAATTACCCTACTTTATGCAACAGTAATGAAACCTAGACTTGCAATTTTTATTAATGCCTTACTGGTGTCCATTTACTTTCCAGATGTCTGGAGCCTGGGAGTGATACTGTACATGCTTGTCTGTGGCCATGCCCCTTTCCAAGAAGCGAATGACAGCGAGACCCTCACTATGATTATGGACTGCAAGTACACCATACCCCCCTATGTCTCCGAGGAATGCAAGAGGCAAGTGTGCTCGGTTGTTTTCTAGTGAAGTGTATACATAGCAATGCTATTAGGTCACTCAGGGTCGGGGCACTAGACAGGGTCGGCGCCTTTCTGCGTGCATTGGCAGAAGAGAAAAAAGAAACCTCTGAGAAAGGACTCGTACCGTCATGCACCACAGGAATTTTGTCAGGGCGTCTCCTGCCTCGTGACAGATGGCACCCGTGTATTTTGGACCGTGGAAAATTCTCTCGTTGGGGGAATTTGGCCGATGTGGCTCCTGTCCTGGCCGGTGGGGGTGGCTTCAAGAACGGCATGCACTTTCTTGCTGCCAGCTACCCTTTCCCCCTTGGAGCACGAGAGAGGCTCGGCGAGCACAGGGGTGGCACACTGCCAGGTGACGTCGCCCCGTGAGAAGGGGGCAGCATGTGTGGGAGGGCGCCACACGAGAGAGGGAGGAGGAGGTATCACATGCTCCGGGCACGGCCCTTGTTCAAAGACAAGAAAACTAACCTCTCTGTAATGGACGTTGGCTGTCAATCAGTGCCGAAGTAAGCAAAACCTTTTCGACTTGCAAAACACAAGCGAGGTGTTGCGCGTGGGGGAAGAGAAGAATAAAGAGACGGACTGCTAAAATTGTGGTTGGCACTTTTTCTTTATATTTTGTTAAGAGTTTTCCTGGTGCTCGGCCAGGTGCAAGCTGCTAGAGAAGGAAGCCCTTCAGCAGTTTCTGCTGGGAAGGAGAAAAAAAATAAAAACAAAACAATAATTGCAAGGAAAGGTGTTCTGCACCGTGCCATTTCCCTCAAGTTTGAATTTAGTGGTTAACTAGTCTGGCAAGCTTAACAAGGAACGATAAGCAGGAAAAAAAATTTTTGCAGAAGCGAGGCTTTTTTTTTTTTTTTTGTTATTTAAACAATATATACTAGAGTAAGAAAATAATGAGCTGCATGTCTATCAAGCACGCTTGTAGCCAGGATTTTGATTCGGGGTGGGGGGTGGGGCGGGGGTGCATTACAAAATGTTGTACAAGGGGGAGGGGTGAAAGGAGGCCCCGGAAAAATGAAATATTTGAGGGGGAATACCCTCCTTCCCCTCTCCCCCCTCCTTGGATGCGTGCTTGCTATGAAGAGTGACTATTTTGAGACGTCTCACCTTTTTTTTACAATTTACTCAATACCCGGACAGCTGCCACTTCGCATTATCAGTAGCAAGTTTTTGCAAATTTTTTTATATCTGCACTTTCTATGCCATAGTGACACTACTTCTTTAAGCATCAGTGGCTGCAAGTGTCAAGCCCATCAACCAGGAGGCAAGTTAGACAAGTGAGACAGGAAGTGCGAGTGGATGAAGCCCTTGTTCCTTGTTTACCTTAAGCTGTGCAAGAGTTGAGTGTGATACTTTGGAACTGTCCAGGATGATTGCTCGCATGCTTATCCGAGACCCGGACAAACGTGCGACACTGGAAGAGATGGCAGCAGACCCCTGGCTACTGGCTGGAGACACTCCTCAGCCCGCAGATCACTTGCCCCTCATACACAGGGAGCACTTGTCAGAAGAGGACCACTCGCACATCGTCCAGAAGATGGTCAACGGCTGCATTGCGACCAAGGACGACATTCTTGAGTGAGCTCATAACCGCCGGCTCTGCTTTTCTTGCGCTAGAGGGGTGGCGACGGGTGTGCCATATTTTGTCTCATTGATGCAGGGCACTGGACCGCAATGACTACAACTACATGACTGCCACCTATTACCTGTTGGCCGAACGGAAGCTCCGGGCTCAGCGCCAGGAGAAGGCCCAGCAACTCAATAGGACTTCCAGGGCCGACCTGTCTCCCGTTGCCGTCACACCTGGGTAAGCCAATGCATTGGATGGCGCACATTGTACAGGATTGTCACCGGGTTTCCCGTTGCACGCAGCGTGTCGTCAGCCACACCTTCGCCTGCGCAAGAGCACCCGAGCATCTCTCTGGCCTCTCCAAATGTTCTGCCCAGCATCTCCCTGGAGTCTTCCCCAATGCACCCGCTCACCTCTGCGGTGGCAGCCCCGCCGTCCAGCCTAGTCGACGCCTCCTCGCTAGCCGTGCCCCGGTCCAATCTTCCACTGGGCCGCAAGTGCAGTATTGTGCGCGAGGAAGACGACCTGTCGTCCCTCGTGCCCTGCCAGGGCCACTCACCGCCCACTCGCGCCGCCGTCTTCTCTGAGGAGACCGAGGAGGCTGCAGAAGAGGCCAGCGAGCGTGCTGTGCGGCCCGCCCTGTCCCTGCCCGCCACTGCCCCTCACGGCGAAAACTGCTCCCAGCACCAGTCTCCCGCTGCTAGGCTGCGCTGCGTTCCAGGGCGGCGTCTTCACGCCGTCAAGAGCTCGCCGCAACTCCTGGCCGGTACAGTGGGAGACCCCAGGCGGCCCGGTGTTGCCAAGCTCCGGATGCATGTAGCCGGCCGCAACCGCACCACCAGCTGCAGCAGTTCAGACGACGACGGCGACGGTGACAAGAGGAGGGCGCCTCCGCTGCCTTCGGCCAAAGAAGGCGACCTCCAGGCCAGCCCCACGATGCCCGGACTCGCCACAGGCCACGACGAGGGCTACTCAGCGGACAGCACCGACAGCCTCGACATCCTGCCCGACCCCTCGCCACGCCTCACCAACTCAGTCTCGTGCGGGGACTTGACCATGGAGTCTCCCGCGGCTAGGGACGTGGTGCCCGTACAGTGCGCCGACGTGGTGCTCGTTGAAGACGCCGTGCCGGCCGAGACAACCCGGATCTCCAACAGCTTCAGCTTGGCCGCAGGCCTGAGCTGCCTGGGGCGCAGGTCGAGCCGGGAGGAGGTGCGCAGCAGCAAGCCCCGCCTGGGCTGCAGTCTGGCCAAACTCGTGCCCAATGGCAGCCGGAGCGGCACCAGCTCCAGCGGAGGGGCCCTCAAGTCCCAGCTGGACATCAACCAGAATGGGTTTCGCAAAGGGCGCACCAAGAACCAGTCTGGCGTGGTGGACGTCAAAATGGCCTCCAAGTGCTGCACACTCTGCTGAAGCACTCTCCCTCTTGCACCCGAGAATACTCAATGCCGCAGAGGACACATTCCTGGGTACTTTCGGTGGTGTTCGCGCGGGGAACTCGTTTCCAAGCTCGTAAGCTCACCACGGTGGCCTGCATGTCGACACGTCCCACTCTGCAGCTGTGGCCAAACCGAGCGTTGGGGCTCAAAGTTCACTGCCAAAGCGACTACTGCACTTTGGAAGGGAGCATCTCTCAAATGCAGCAAAGTAGACAGACTGGGCCCAAAGCAGCCCTGCCTTAGTACAAACACCCTTCATTTTGTTCCCCGACAAAGCTGCATAAAAAAAACATGGCGCGAGCTTGAAGCCCCAACACTGCATTCCGGCCGTTTACAGTGTGCAGTGGACGCAGCGTCCGTAGAACTAATTGTTGCCAAGCTATGAAGGGACGTCCAAGCTGGTTTTATCTTGTTTGTGGCAAAGCCACGTGTTACTTCTTTTTAAAAGGGGAAAAAAAAAAAAATAAACCCTGCCCTGTACATAATAGAACTGAGCAAGTCAAGTTTGGGGAGCCACTAATGCAGGACGACTCGTCTCCACAAAGCAAACCACAGCTGGCCACAGTTCATTGTCTCGTAATTGTCGTCCGTCGTGTGCATTTTTCTTGCTGTGGTTACTGATTGCGCATTTAACATGGATGAGAAAGCAGGATAAGCCCCCTAAGAGGGGCAGCCTAGTGGCAGACGTTTAGTTAGTTTTCTAAACGAAGGAAGCCAAGGAAGAGAACTGCCCTCTAACAAATAGAGTACTAGTTGCTCTTGTGTATATAACAAAAGGGAAAAAAGTAAAGCATTATGCTCTTTCAAATCTCGCGCATTATCAGGGGTCAGTGCGTCCTCCTGCAGTCGGGTACGCAACAACCACTTTATCACCGTCATTCTGGAAAGCTTACAGCGGTTATTTATTTTACTTTCTTAGTGTTGTTTTGTCAGTGTAGGTGTTTGCAGCAATGCTGCTTGCACAGAAAAAAGGAACACGACCTTAGCAATAATCGTGCAAAGTGTAAACAGGTATGTAGATCTGTTTAGTAAAAAAACGAAAAAAGAAACTTGTTATAACAGCAAGCATGTGAGTCTTTATTGGTTGGAATGTGACAACTGCACTACCTTTTTTTTTTCTTTTTCTTACTCCATTGTTAACTTTGGTAACTTCAATACAAACCTTTAGCATACTTCATTCAGGTTCTGTGCACAACTGCCGGCTCTGCCCGAGAGAATTCTTATACTGTCGTAAGGCATTACAGCCATGTAGACATGATTGCCACCTTTGTAAACATGTCCTTTCACAAAGCTCCCAGCTTTTCCAGCAACTTTTTCGCCTCCTTGGAGACCTGAAAAGGCACAAATGGAGCAGTGTTAAGCCATGTGCACCACAGGCATGCTGCACCACCAAAACCAGACTAGTAGTAGACAAACATTTTATATAATTTTATCTAGACTGCCCTCAAGCACTTGCTTAAAAAGTGACGACATCTGATCATTTTGTTACGAATTCTTTTTTCTGGAGCGTGTGAAACAGCGTCTCCCGGCACACGCTCTTGGCATTGACTGTGCTACAATGGCATTTTGTTTCCGGTGACTTCTTTGCATTTTTTCTGCAAGTGCATGCTGTTATCAGGTGCTACGAAAAATACCATTGCCCTAAACAAGGGCATTGAGGCACCTTACTTTTGTCTTAGAAAAGCATACCCAGTGATGGAACTGCTATGCCATTTGCGCCACAAGCGAAAGTCTGCTACATCTTGCGCTAAAATGCCAGTTTTGCCGAGAATCGCGCCACACCCGCGCCGAGATGGGCTTAAAAATTAATGTTTATTGGTCTGTTGTAAAAGGAGTATGTTGCGTGCAGATATGAAGTTCAGTCAATGGTACGTAGAGGAAAACCAACCAAACTTCACAAATTGGTATGCTATATCCAAATGTTTGTTGTAACCAGGTCTTTTGTAATGAGCTTAGACTGTACTAAAAGCGCATGTGACGGGACATTCGCTGCACTCGATTAGTTTAGCCAATGAAAGAACACGTACAGGGCAATGACAAATGCCATGATGTTGCGCTTTAATGCTGCAAATCGACCCGCCAAAGCCATCAACCGCTCTGGCTGGTTGATGCGCCGGCTGCTTGATCGCCGACACTGTATAAATTTCCAGACGATGTCAAGGTCAGCAACAGAGTCCCGAGAAAACTTTGCAAAATAGTAGGACTGCCTGTGATAAAACAGAACCAGGGTCTTGTACTCCTGATAAGATCACTTGATTATCATGTCTGCCACTTGCCTTCGTTCCGTGGCTGCAGAGTGCTAGCACTTGCGCCACTCGCGTCGAGCCTCACTGCTTTGCACCGGAATACTAGGAGCAGAGACTGACCTGGGGGAGTGCCTGGCTTAGCTCAATAGGCACATAAATTATGCTCAGGATTATTGCAGGTCGACCTTCTTCATCCTAATTGTAAGTTAATCTCCAATTAAAAAAAAACAGCAGAGAAAGAAAGAAAGCAAGGGTCTATATATTGTTACGGAGTTTAATTTACTAGGTGTTGTCCATGGCCAGAGTAGAACAGATTTAAGAATCGGCCCCGTGCCGTCTGCGCATGCATCGTTGTCGTCCTCTGTAGGTTCTGGCATGCACCTCAGTCGCACCGCTACACTATTTCCCCTCAAAGTTTCTTTTTTAGGGTGGTTTATTTTGCTAAACAATCGCCACGTTCCGTTAAAGATAGTTCTTTTTGCGGGTATCATTGCCGATGCTCTTCTGCACGGTCACGAATTTCACACAAACGTCACAGTTCCTCCACAAAACCAAAATCCAGTACATTGGCACTTTTTTAAGTTGATATGCGGAGTCTTGTCACCTGGCGGTTGGTTGCTCCTCTTTTCATCAGCCCTGGTGACATGTTTGATCAGAGCTCTGTTGCCGGCATAGATCATGTCGGTGCAAAACATCACTGCACATTTGCGCATTTTGAAAATCAACACCCAAAATAAAATTTAGTGTAAAACCTAAACCCAGAAGATGGAATGTTTTGCGAACATGGCTGCTCATGACCATCTGCTGAATGGCCACAACGATGGCCAGAAAAGCATTTAAGTTCAGCGAGCAGGCACTTGCACGACTTGATGGCTTGGAGATCTGGGGTGCTGATGTGGCCATCGGCCAATGTAGGATGTTTATTTCAGGCTCGGAGTAGTTGTGGGGGACACAGCGAAGATGTAAGTTGTCTGTTTGGAAGGTCAGGCATAAAGATCTACGGCTTCAGGCGATCCAGCCGCAATTCTATCGCTTCATGCGACGCCGGCGCTGACCACGTTGCAGAGGATGTTCTTCCTGACAGGGGCTTTCCGAGTAGCATGAGGTGCCATGCCAGAAATCCAACTTCTGACACCAATGTTATGGAGTAGGTGTTGTTCATGGCCAGATTAGAACAGAATAAGAGTCAGCTGCGTGCCGTCTGCGCGTGCGTCTTTGTCGTCTCGTCCTTGATATATTGTAGCGACGCGCCTCAGCCGCACCGCTACAATATATTTGAATAAATATGCTAGTCACGGTAGTTCCTGTGCAACTGTCGACCGAAAGAGCAGCAAACTTTGATGTAACCCTGGTTCCTACACTGCTAAAGAGCAGTGTCACCTTCAAAGCACAAGTGTAAGCTTTTATAATATTTTTGGATGGTCGCTTTCGCAGTTTATGATATTAGAGTCTTGAGTTTGGTAGGTTTATTAAGCTTACGGGACACATTTTTATTGGTAGACATGTAAGCGGAGATGCTGGTTCTTGCTGGCATTTTGCAGAAATTATATTTACAGGCTAAACAAACTACTGAGTGTAAAATGGAGAGGGGAGAGAGGATTTATTCCAATGAAGTGTTGCTCTATGATTCACTTTTCAACCACTTTTTAATACCCATTGTAAGTTAACCCTACTTTGACTGGAGTTTAAGACTGGGTTCCTTCTATGCCCTATCTATTCTTATCACAGACGGCAGTAAGTAATATGCTTGAGTATTGGAGAGGAACCCTTGATCACTATCATAAATGAACTCGTTTAGAAATGCCATCACTTCTTCATTCTCAAGTGATGTGCTAACAGATGTTGGCATCTGCTCCAGTGGCTGCTCCAAACCAATATTTTGCCTGCTACAGAACCTGCTACAAAAGGTCCAAATGCTGCCTCCATCACTACATACCTCTTCATCATCTGGACTGGCCTTGGGAGTGAAATCTCTGGCACGGTGTAGATAGCTCACAGCATCGTCATTCCTCTTCAACTCGATCAAGGTTTTCGCAATCATAAGGAAGTTCCGGCTGTAGTAGTTTGGTCGCACTGTGGGAAAAGGAAAGAAAACCTCGGCATTTAAGACTTTTTTTGGTCTGAAGGAAATTCTATAATCCCTTTCTTTGCCGTAAGCTGGCAAGAACTCCCAGTGCCACAGCCTGAAAACACTCACCTTCTTCTGCTTTAAGAAAATGTTTGAGTGCCTGTAGAAGTAACATTGTGTAAAGATAAGCCACAAGGTTTAACACTGCATTGTATGGCAGAGCTGTGAGCAAGATGGGAAGAGCACCTCTTCATATGTAGCAGTTGGTATCTCCGAAAATATCAGCTGCCCCGCTTTCCTCACATACCAGGGAGTCGCCGCCACCTCAAAACACCTGCAAGGAGTAGGTACCAAATAACGAGACCTCGAGCTGCCAGGCAAGGGCAAACGCTTTGAAAATAGCAAATTGGACATTAGATATTTCGACAGCATGAGGTTAGTCTGCCATAGTATGGCAATACTGGTTCACACTGTAGATGAGAAATTTAGTCAGTGCATTACAATTGCTAGCTCAGGTTTTTGAACATTCATAATCGGTGGCCAAGTATGTTAGCGAGTCGCAGCTTCGAGCACGTGGAGCGAAAGCTCACGCTACAACATCAGGCAAGGGTTTCGTCAAATGCTTTGCAACTTTCAGCAGTAAATGTAGTATTAAAAGCGGCCAGATGCATCTAGTGCTTTAAAAGGATTGAATGCGTCTGGCTGCTTTTATCACACCGTTTATTTTATTTACCCTGCTGGTAAAGGAGTATTCCGTTTTGTTTTTTTTAGCAACCTCAACTAACTATATTTTTGGAATCACTGGCTTTAACCCTTTCCGGTAAGCCATTTAGTATCGCGAAATTCAGAATAGTTCTTGTGAAAGCGGGCAGTCTAAAAATGGACTATGCCGAGCATTTGTTTCGTGCTGCTGCTGCAAGGGTGCTGCAGCAAGCTTCCAAACCATTCATTTGACACTATGAAACTGTTTGTAATCAGTTGGGAACAAAGTTAGTCCAAAAAGTGAACCCCTGCCTTCCGCTGCTGTAAATTTTTCATTGTTCCCAGTGGAGACTCGCTTGGGAAAACACTGGGAGGACCAAAATTGTAAATTCAATAACATCACAAAAAAAAAAAAAAAAAGGCCAAATATTTAGATTATTATTTCAGCGATGTTTGTTGGTGTGTTTAGAAAGTTTTCAAGCAAATTAGGGACTATAAAGAAAATGCACCGGAGTACCCCTTTAAGGCTTAAAACGCCACTTTAAAAAGGCACAGCGAGTGCGGCTTTGTTTGAACAATTAAGTGGAGGAGCCACATGCGAGAGCAACAAACTGCTGGGCGGTTTGATTCTGTATGGGCAATATGAAACACATTTTGGTGCAAGGAAGTGCTAATTAATTATTGAGTTAATACAGCAAAGCACATTACAATTAAAGTTCAATAAGTGTAATCGAACGGTTGGATATGGCAAGTGGTCACTCAATTAGACTGAAAGAACCCAGATATGCGGCAACTAATGAAAGGCACTCACCAGTTCCCCAGAACGTGGAAATTGATAGGGTCATTGGGCATCAGCTCTATGGCCCTCTGCAAGTTACATAAAAAAAATATATATATATATATATATATACATGCCACACCACTAGCCCATGCACCAAGCTTACCTGCACGTGTTGCTTGATGAGGAATCCATCCTTGATCCTGTCTTTTGTGGACGGATGGTCTACCTTCGAGCCAATCAAGATGCCATACCACTGGAACAACATTTCAGGCATTTTTGTACCTGTTGCCCACGCAATCACTAATGCTCGAGTTCCACTAGAACCACAAACAGAAACAACCGACACTGACAAGCCTCAAACACATGCAGCATGCACATGAAGGTATCTCATGAAGTAAGCACAAGTGATCGCAAGCCTGCCGACAATAGATTTGTGTGCACGCTGCACGTTTGAGGCTTGTGCGTGTCTGTTGTTTCTGTGTTGCTCTAGTGGGACTCTGGCATAAGAGAGCAGAATCGGTCACAGTCCAATATGGTGTTAGTGAGAGATTTTGGGGGCTTATGGCACAAAAGCTACAAGGCCATCTGCACCAAACTGATCCTTGTACTATACGAAGGGTCATGTGGTGTTAGTGACAGGATGTCCACTATGTCATTAGTTAGCTCAAAGTGGATTGATCTTCAAACAATAAGCTACACACAAGATCTGATGAACACTGTACACTGCGCTCATGTGGAATATCATTAATGCATGCTTGGAGCAAAAGCAAATCTGTTCACCATACTGCAGATTCCCGGGAGCTTCTTTAGGGATTTGCAATGTTTACAAAAAGTGCTACCTACTACTGGTGGCCCATTAGAAGGTGGGAGGAGGTTAACTATTTTCACACGCTCCATGCAAGAGAAACATACTGATGCAATGAGAAAGAAGCCCAGCGCAAGTGAGGGCCAGCCAACCTGTAATTCTGCATGCTATTTTGGGGCATTCTCCCTAGGCTACCAAGACCACATAAAGCAAAGAGGCAAGTCACCTTGTGCACGTCACCCAGCTTGTCTCCGCCGACCTCCACTGCCCGGTCCAGATAAGAAATGCCCTCTGCCAGTCCTGCCTGTTTCTGGGGCTTGGGGGCGAACTCACAGCGTTTGAAGGTCGCCCTGGCCAGCCGCCACAGCAGCTCCGCGTCAGTGCTGTCCCGGTATGGAAGCAAAAGCTGGTATGCCTTCTCGTGTCCCCCGCTCGTGTGCAGGCTGTCGACTTCCTGCTTCAACTGTTCCACTGGGTGTGTTGAGCAACACGGTCATAAGCAAGGTTCACTCATACCACCCACTTCTACAAAGAGTCGCATTGACCTCCTCGGTACCATGACGACATCTCTTCCACCTAACTCTCTATGTAGGCACGTAGCCAGGGAGTAGGCCCATGGGGCCCGCCCCCCGCCCCCCCCCCCCCCCCCCCCCCCCCCCAAATCTTCCATTTTGCTAGGACCTCCTCTACCCCCTCCCCCTCATACAGCATTTTGTCATGGTACCGAAACCCGAAACAAAATCCTGGCTACGTGCCTGTCTCAATGTATCTATGGGACTGCAAGCACAAGCAGCTGACTCTGGCAGCTTCAAGTGTGTGCATGCAACTTTTGCTTTGGTTGGAGAAAAGCGAACTGGTGCAGGCTTATCTATCAAACTCTCAAGGCTCATCTGTTTGGGACATAGATACACTGCACAGAGCTTTTTCTGAGTATTGCTTGTCATTGGCAATGAAGAAAACCAAATTCTACTGCCTGTTTGTACCCACCATGAGCACATTCAACCATACCTCACCATTTCAGACTTGAGACAAAAACAAGTGAAACTGCTGATGGCTTGTCCGTGCTAACAGTTCCGTGCTCTGTACTTCCTTGTTAACAATAACGTGTTATGTTAAAGGGGTACTCCGCCGATTTCTTCATGGTCCCCGATTTGCTTGAAATTTTGCTAAACTCGCCAGACAACATCGCCAAAATAGTATCTCAAATATTAGGTCAAAATAATTTTTTTTTCACGAAGTTATTGAATTTACAATTTTGGTCCTCACCGTGTTTTTCAAACTGAAAGTCTCTACTGGCAACAATGAAAAAGTGACGTCATTGGAAGTGCAGGGGTTCACTCTTTGGACTGTAGAATTTGTTCCCAACTGATTCGAGGCAGTTTCATGGTGTCAAATGAATGCCTTGGAAGCTCGCTCCAGTCCCCGCGCACCAGCACGGAACAAATGATTGGCATATTCTATTTTTTAGACTGCTCGCCTGACTGGCAAGCTGAACTTCCACTGACGTCACGGCCCTGAAAAGGGCGGGTATATTTGAATGTCTGTTTTCGCATCATTTTCATTTGCCGAACTATTATGAATTTCACGATACTAAATAGCATACCAGAAAGGGTAAAGGCCTGGGAGTCAGAAAATATAGCTAGTTGAGGTAGCTCAAAAATCGGCGGAGTACCCCTTTAACGTTAATTACTGAAACCTTAAAGTGATGTAGCTAGATGCTTATCAGCACATTTACTTCCTCTATGTACAAAGAAAACATTATCATCCTACCTCTCACTTCTTGCTGAATAAAAAATAGGCTACATTTCAAGGGAGGCAGAGTCCCATGCTTCAATAATATTCCCATCAGTGGATGTGCCATATTTTTCAGGAACTATTATCAAATTAGAATTTTAGCACGTTCTGCTGTGCATTCATTTCTGAATGAGTGCAAAACATGCAATGGCATAGCCGGGAAGGGAGGGGGAAACTAAAACAGTAAACCCTATAATACGGTACATATGCATGACGCCCCCCACTCCCCTCCCCAAGTCGTGGGCATCCCAGCAAACATTGTGCTTAAAGGCCGACGTACAACCTCGGTTTTCTGCAGGGAAGATAATACTCTTAGCGCTCTCCCAAGTTGCGAGGAGGAGCCCAGTTGGGGCAAGGTAAAAAATGGAGAGGATATAGGAAAGGAGGAGGCAGGCAAAAGTGGAAAGTGCGAAGAGTATGTCGGCCTTTGAGTGAGCATGTCTTCAAAGATCACAATAATTGAAGCAGCATTGGATGCTTGTAGCAGGTAAACTATTGGTTTAGACAGAGCAGCCACTGATCTGTAGCACATCACTTGAAAATGTGATTGCATTGCTAAACAAGTTCATATCTGATGATTGAGGGTTTCTCTTCCATTTCAGTGGCATAGACAGGGGGGGAGGGGAAGGCTTATGGGGCTTCAGTTAACCACCATGATCACTGGGATCATGGTGGGTTGTGGACACCAACAACAGAATTTCCTGTAACTTGAGGCACATCTTCCAGCACTGCCACTGACTAAAGAACTGGGATCTGTCAGTATAGCATATGCTTCTTGCTTGTGATAGCAGCAATTTTCATGATATAGGCACATATAAAATCCACTTAATGTAAAGCAAGCATGCATTTATGCTTTTGATAACTGACCGTCACTTTTTTGTATACTTTTCTATGACACCACTAGAAGGGAACTGAGATTTGTATATGACATATAGGGAGTTCTCACAATTCCTGCATTAGGCAAGTTGTCTGTTAATGGAGCTAGATGTGCATGCTGTGCTCTGTTCACCCCTAAACTGCCAGAGCAGTGGAAGCTACATACATGCTCAGCAGACCAATCAGCTACCCGCCTTTCACCACCTCATCCACTCTGCACTCTGTGTGGGTATGGGTGGAAGCGTGATCATATGGTAAAAGGTGTATGAATGGTCCAACAGGTACAATTCTACCACCCCGGCAACTTGGCGGTGAACAATGTGAAGTGCATGTGCTATCAGGTTCAAATGAAATGTGAACAGTGACGGAACTTCCAGGGCAACACCGGCACAGTGTGGAAGCCTGGGTTGTGCTGGGCGAGGCTCAAACACGTCAGAGTAAGACACACCCATCGCAGCATCATATTTTCCAACCTGCAGTTTTAGCAGTTTCCAGAGGCCTCCAGGAGGCGCAGCATTTGTCGATGGCCACACACTCCAGTGCTAGCATTTTATTCGAACCCAATAGTACTTTTTAAATTCCAACATTCATGTAAAACTGAAAATGGCTGACTGCATGAATGCATTAATTATAGTGATTATCCTGAGTACTACATATGTAAAACTTTCACTTTTATCGACAACAAATGTAAAGCTTGAAATCCACTGCAATGCCCCATTTAGAAACTTAGCCAAACAGCTGCCATACGTTAAATGTTTTCACTCTAAAACCGCATCATCATCTCGGTATTTTAACAGACACTTGCATGAAGAAAAAAAAAAAAACATTCGACGTCACAGTTAGTCTGTTAAAAGGAAAACAAACGGAAATTAACATGACTGGTCATAAAAATGGTTTTAGGACCATGAGAGACTAGGAGTAAATATATAACGAATGGGTGGACACCCCAGATTCAACCAGAAAGGTAAAATATTCCAACACAAAGAACCTACAACTTATTAGGTAACAAATGCCTACCACCTACCCCTAGCGCTACCAGCATTTGTCAACTGCGTACACGGTACTCGCAAAGAGCGTGCGGCAAACACGTGGATGCGACCAAGCGGCGCCGTGTCCTCATCGAAAAGAACAATTCGTTTCCCCGTCACCACACAGATTGACAACTGTGCTAGCATTGTCTCCAAATCAAGATCGCTACCAGCCACTACAACCTGTCACGACGCAGTACACGTTGAGTAAACGCTGGTTGAGCGAGGCGGCGTTCTGCAAACATGGCTGGGTGCGGCTACATTTAATTAATTAAACCGCAAAACCGCAACACACGGAGCGCGTTTCCCCGTCTAAAACAGAAGGTCCTGATTTACCTTCAGACATCTTGAAGAGCGTGAACCCGCACAGCAGGAAGATTGGAGGTGTGATCGTCGGCACGGCGACTGGCCTTGACTTAATCAGCGGCAGCAGTCTCTGCAGGCACGATAAAGAACACAAGTCCGCACATCAGGGGACAGCGGAAACCATGCATGTCGGCAGTTTTGGAAGCGGATAACGAACCCAATCGCAGGAGCTGGCTTTGCGATAAGAAATAAGGCTTTCGCAGCGCCAAGCGCACGCCCACCGACGCTTTCATGGGATTTCACCGATAGGGCACTTACTTCTACGCCATAGACTTCAAACGATGACGTTCCCAACCAGCTCGCTCGCGTATTTTTTCCCCCCCTACTTCTATGAAAAGGCACTTCCTTGCTTTTCACACCGGCTGCAACGCTGTGAAAGGTGCTGGCACGAGTTCCTCGCCTAGATGTTCATTCACGACAACTCGCGGAAGTGTCATCATGAATGAGCTCGCGCCAGAAACTTCCACACCATTGTATGTTATGCAACACTGCAGTTATGCGCACGAACCGACGGCCGCGGTGCGTAGACTTCGTTTTCTTTCAAGCGTGCATTTGCTTGGTGAAAATAAAACGTTAGAAATTTCCCCCAAAGGCCCCGCGTGGACAACACACCTGTAAACAGTGGACTCGTCTAGCACCTATTTGAAGATCGACGTTGTAGTACATACCTTAAATTGCAGCGACAAATTGTAACTTTGCTGTCTGCTAATCACTGCAAACATTAGCCGGATATGTGATAACGAGAAACGATGGGAAATCATTTTCCTCGTCGCTTAAATGGCAACACGTAATAGCTGCGAACTCTGTAAATCAAGGCCGTAGACGAGGCAGACGACAGCATATGTTGATGACACTGCCACGAACACGAACGGAAACAATTGAAATAAAAATGTATCCGTTTGCGATATTAAAACTAAAATAAAGTTGTCCCAACTATAAACAATAAAAATAACAAAATTATAAAAACGTTCACTTGGGTCTCTGGAAAATGAATAAATAAATGTTGTAATGAACAACTTTGTTTCGGTTTCATTTAATAACTGTTAACCTCCACTGTAGTTTTCTCGCCGCTGTTATTGCGGTAAGAGAGGATCACTTTTCGATTTAACGGTGCTGTTCTCGAGGTTCGGGCGAAGTAGAAGCCTATCGATAAACAGAAGGTGCTAGCGGAGAGCGCAGTTCGGGGGAAAGTATCGATTTTCGCCCATCATGCGACTCTATATTTAACGCCGCAGACGGCAAGTTCGGGTGTTGATGAAAATAATCCCTGGAGAAGGGGAACAAGGGATTATTTTCATCATTCTTGTCCAGCTCGCTTGCACCTTTGCAATTAATTGCATTCTAATTATAAAGTTCGGGTGTCCAGCACGAAGCTCTCCACTGATTATTTTCGGTGCTGTGGGCACAGCACCGAAACGTATTTTCGGTGCTGCAAGTTATGTTTTCTTCCGAAGCGTATGTTTAAAAAAAGAAATAGGAAAGCAAACAATATATTTTTTTTTTTTTTCGTGGGAAAGAAAAACTTCTATATCACAATTTAAATAACAGAGCCAGAAATCGTAGCTTACATTTTTATTGAACACTTCACCTTCCAGACACATACCACGCAAACAAACTTTGTTCCAAAACATTTCGTATGTTCCCAGGTTCCTGCGGCGGTGGTTTTCTTGCCGTTCCATACGCTTCATAGACATCACGTAATGGTGCTCATACATTAACAGGTCACTTTTACCGGACTTCATTTACACGTGCTATGGCCCAAGAAAAGCATCAACCAAAGCTGCACTTGCACAATGTTTTCTTCTCATATTTAAGAGTGTATCGGACTCGTGTTCCCGAGATTCTTCGACATGGCTTCACTTGTCATTCTCACTGCATTACTGCGAACACGATAGCGAAAACAATAATCTAATGAAATAATGTAAACAAGTTCTATGAATATGTTCATTCCAAGAGTCGTCTAAAGGCGCCACTCAACGAGACAATTTAGAAAGAAACCATACCATTTTATTTCATGCATACCATTCAAACTTATAGAATTTCTTACAGCTTATTCAGAGTTGAACTCTAAAGCACACTGTGTGCAAATGCACCCCCTTTTTTCATTCAGAAACTCTGCTGGAAAAGGAAAGTGACAAACGCACGGGACTGGAAACAGACCTCCCCAACCTTGAATAATAATCATTACGTTCCTAATGTGGACAGAATGCACCCAGAATCGGAGGAGGGGGAGGGGGCTTAAACTTCAATGTGGAAGCTTTCAAAATTATTTACACCCCAGGTACAAACAGGAGCTTCAAGAATTTTATGTAGCCCCAAAAGATGTGGTACCATGGTAAGTACTGTAACAGTCGTCCAGCACCAGGGCCAATTCACGATCGTGATTGTTGCCAGCTGGGCATGCAAGACCAGCCCTAGACACAATGAGGAACTCCCAGGTTAGAGACCATAGTTACAATGCTTATGACAGTAGACTAGTGTGGTTTCTTGCCAGCTAGAAGGTTGAACTTGCCCAGATCTTGACTGCTGCTATCGTCATCGGGCAGGTGAACATTAAATGGCAAGCACCTGTTTAAAGAACTCAAAAGTTCAAGCTCAACTCGAGACACTGCTACTGCCCAACAGAGAATATTCAAGTAAAACCTCCTACAGATCCCAATGAGTACAGATAGAGCACAGAAAAAATTGGGCCGACCCGAGCTGGTTGTCTTCTCCTCCAGCAAGACTCCAGTGTGCCGTAAAGTAGTGCAGTGGAAGGCCTCGTCTAGTGGAGCAGGATATAACCTTGGACTGTTGCAACTCTTCATGCAGTGGTGTCAGTCTTTTATGATGATTTTGTGCAAACTACATTCGCACCACCATGAGGATGGCACCACACTGGTCTTCACCTTACAGGTAACCATCATTTGCTCCCTCAAAGATTCTCCCGATGACTGAAAACAAACAGACTTGTGGTCCTAAAACCACTTCAATGCTTGGCCAGGTGATATGCAACATTTGTGACAAAGCTGCAGCCCAATGAAACATGTCTAAAAACAATGAAAAAGAAACATTACAGGCTAGCCCACATAGGCTCAAATTATTCACTTTATTCACCCCTCCCAGACTTGACAACTCAGTCAGAAACGAGGACACCACTCTTAAACACAAGGACACAATAATTTTTACCTTTTATTGTACATGATGACAAAAGGTTAGACACACGTTTAAAGTACAAACCAACTCAGCTATGCTTTATTGAAGGAGGCCAATGCGACAGAAGAAGGCAACATGCATTTTGATGGGATCACTAAGACAAGATTCCACAGTGAGAACACAAACCCACTTCAAAACAACAAACTATGGTGAGAGCGGAGTCAAGGAGACGGTGAAGATGACCCAGGGAGCCCCTCCTGGCTTAGCGCCCCTCAGTAGCGGGCCACACCAGGTGGCCCAGGCCTGTTGGCCGGTGGCATGGGCCGCTGCACCTGCGTGCCCAACAGCGGGTGTCTCATGCCCCCTCCCTGGCCGCCAGGACCTCTCTGTGGGTGCTGCTGGGGTGCAGGTTGCTGAGCCGGTGGTGGCTGTGAATGCTGGGGGTACTGTTGTTGCTGTGGACGGCCACCGTAACCGCTGTTAATTCCAGGGGCATTCCCGCCGTACGAATCTCCATCACCGTAACCATAACCAGAGGGTGGATTTGCGGGCTGCTGATTGCCGAGTGCAGGCGATGCCCCAGTAGAATTAGCAGTGCTCAGGGTCTTCAGCAAGTTACTGCCATTGTGAATGAGGTTATCCAGAGCCCTCTGAACACTGGGGTTATCAAAGTTGATGTAAGTCGATGCAGACGGCTCAACAGTTGGAGCCACTTGCTGAGGAGGAGGGGCTTGCTGTACAACAGTCGTCGGGCTGGTAGGGGCCGGTTGCCCAATCATGCTCAGGATTCGCTGTTGCAGCTCTTGCTGTGAAGGCTTCTCTTCCTCTGCAAAAAGACGAGAGAGTTAGGCTCCAAAGTGATAAGAGTACTCTTCTTTAGCCGAATGATCCAAAAATAAAATCAAGTGGCTTTCGGAGCTAGTTTACCTAGCCAGTTTATGTAAAGCCACAAGCCAACACTCTCTGCAATCAGCTCTGCAGTGCCAGTTACTCCTATATGCGAAGTGGCTATTGCCTGGTAGTAGGGTCAATTCTTCCAAGGGCACAAAAAGATTTACTCACCTCAGCATACCACGAACCGATGCAAAGCTTCGCCCTTTATCACTTGCTCTTAAGATAGTTGCAATCCAAAACGAGATTCTAAGGCTGGAGTACAACTAAAAAAGTTTCCTTTTTTTTTTTTAATTGCACACCAGCCTTGAAATAGAAAAACTAGGTAAGTGTATAAACTGTGCCAGAAATTTGGCAGACATGCATAGACTGTTAATCTACTATACCTACCAATCGATTCAATAATAGACTGAGGGCCGCCACAGGCCTGTTGGTGGACATTCAAGACTAAAACCCGAGACTGGTGTTTATCCTTGACGCCCCACGTCTAGTCTTGCTTACTAGTCAAGACAGAACATTTCCACTTCCTAGCACACCACTCGATTCGGCACTTTCGGTGGAGGAACTCGTGTCAGGCAACATGGCAGCTACAGATAATGATTCAACCAAACTACCTTACTAGTATTCCATTCTGCGCTCTCCCAATAGAACCTTGTCCAACCACTTACAAATCAACGAGACGCCCCACAAAGTGGCCATGCGAGGGTTTATCCTTCGGCCGCTCAATGCAAGAATATTAACAGCACATTCCACAAACGGCAAAAATTATGGCTTGTGAGGCAACATGCCAAGCCCGCTGCACGTCTCCGAGATCCTATACAAGGAACCGCCTAATGTCAAGATATCAAGGCCTGCTGGACACGGTCTTGAGCCTCCAGGGACACCAGGGACCACTCACCAGGGGGCGCCACAAGCTTTGGGCGCTCTGGCGTCTCGGCGGGTGCGGAGGCTCCGCCCACCGTGCGCGGCTGTTGCTGAGCCGACTCCCCCCTTTCGAGCAGCAGCTGCTTGTCCCTGCGGTCCGTGACATACTTGAGGATGCGGTCCAACTCTGGGATGCTCAGATATTTGCCATCCACGAGCAGCTTGAGCAGGAACTGCAGTTCGCGGTCTGGCCCGAGCCGGTCTGCACCACCCGCTGCCGCCTCTTGAGCCTCCATTTGTTCCCGGAACTGGCGTGCCACCAGCTTCAGGGCGTCGTCCAGTGGCATGTTGCGGTGCTCTGCGCATCCAGAGAGCGACACAGAGGCCAACACCACCCGCCTCAGTTCAGCTACGCTCCCAGGCAAGTGGCACCATGCTGAAAGCCCCCCTACACCTAGCTAGGCCACGAATGTCAGCTTTAGGGTCTTAAAATGTGCTTACGACCTGTTTCTCACCTTCCCCCTGTCCTCTTGGTCGGAGAAGAGTGGACCGCCCGATACATGCAGATACACTAAAATAAACTAAGGGCATACCATACTCTGTCCACCCTCGTAAAAAAACATTTGGATGCAAAGATTCCTACACAGATAGGTTAAGAGAAATTATAATGATGTTGCACATTTCATTCGTAAGATGCACATGCTTTTAAAGCAAATCTTTTCTATGCCGCAGTCTCATAATGTGCTCTTTAGTTAACACAGTAGAGTATTAACTACTAAACAATAAAAAAAAAAGGCGAAATGAAAGTGCACAGCAGTCTTCTACATAGTAAAACTCCATTGGGTTTTACAGCAGGTTTTACGACACAGCAGCAACGATGGCCATACTGGAGGTATACAGCGAGTTCACTAACCTGCGACTCCCAGAACTTTCCCAATGGGCAAACCAAGAACATTGCCCTCGACCACATATGGCAGAAACTAAGTGCTATAAATTTTCAGGCCTCATTTGATGCACTCTCTGTAGCTTTGACAATATGGGTACATTACTAAATTTATAAATTCTTAATGATAATTGGTTTCTGAAAATATGCTCCTAAATTGATCTCATATAGAACATTGTTTATTGCTTCCAAACTGACCATGATAATTATCAAATTAAAGTTGTATGACATTCAATTTTACAACTCTCATCACAATCCAAAATTCAAGATGAGTTGTCTGCACGTTGCTTTTGAAGTTCCACTACAATATTTTCTCTTAGAATAGGCCCGAATTATTTAAAGCCACTGGTTGGTAAAGCTGCACAATGTAAAATTAACTCCTTTGCCTTCTAGCAGGTGTAGCCAGTTGCTTCATATTTTACCATTTTCTTCGTTCTAGACTGTTCCATTCTATACTGGACTAGATTTGACACAATGTTGAATTCTATGACCTTCTTCACATCTGACCCAAGAGCACCTACAGGAGACAAAGAAGCTAGAGACTTGACAAAGAAGCTAGCACCCTGTACAATAAATGTTGCCTCGAGACAAGCAACAGTGATTTAACTGCCTGCAGTAAAGATTCCAAAAGGTGCTACTACTCTCTCTCAAGAGCTTAAAGGTGCACTAAAGACATTTCTGAGATTGTCTGTTCTTGGTGATAACTTTATCTTACGGGCTCCAAGCATCCTAGAAATCCAAAAATTATGCTTGTGCGACGTCCGTTTTTATACTAAAAACGTGATTGAAGTATGCGCCAAGCCCCTTTCTGAGTGAAAAAATCTGGAGCACAGAATCCAGCAGAGGCACCTGCAGTGTGACAACAGCCAGTTGCAAGCCGCCTCTCGTGGAAAGGCGGCTTGCGATTGACTGACGCGCGCCCGTCGTCCCACTGCTGGCGCCTCTGCTAGATTCTCTGCTCGAGATTTTTCCGCTCAGAAAGGGGCATGGCACGAACTTCAATTGAATTTTTAGTAGGGAAATAGACGTCGCACGAGCATAGTTTTTCGTTTTCTGGGATGCTAAGATCCCGTAGAATGAGTTATCACCAAGAACAGACAATCTCAGAAACGTCTTTAGTGCACCTTTAAGATACTCCTGTAGATCACAATGCCAACATGCAGAACACAGGGATGCCAAGGATCCTTTCCTTACAAAGAGGTTCCCAATGCAAAACCACCAAATTATTAGCCCACTCCCTTCCCGACAAACGAGAAAAAGTAAAACAGTTAGGAGCGGCAAACAAAAATATTTGCCAACTCAATATTAAATCACAAACGGTGTGATGTTTAACATTGTCTCCAAGAAAAACTATCTGCTGAAGTGTCTTAATCCTCTTTTATATGACACTCGCAAAGATGCTCTCATACAAACTGTAGATGTGACAACAGAGGTAAGGCAGTTTGTAGCAATGTATGCGTAGCGACATACGCAGTACGAAGAAAAAGTCAGCATCATATGAAATGAAGCAGACCAAAGTCTGGTGCAAAATTTGCCCTCATTATCAACTAAAGAATAAGCATGAACAATAAAAAAAGACAGAATAAGCAGAGGTCAATAAAAACTATGAGGAACCTCAGTAATAAAAACTAAATCAGTTATAGCGCAGCTTGTGGACGCCCACAATGCTTAAAGCCAAGTGAGGCACGATGTATGGACATAGAACATGGAAAACCTGGGAAGCAAAATATTTTCATTATTTCAAAGCTTTAAAAAAGCAGCAAACAACTGTACCAAACTTTTCAGTTATCAAGCCATGGCAATCATTGTTTACCTTTATAAAAGCTACACACCAACGCGCAACTGCGACACCACCACTTTCGGCAGTGGTACCACCGCCCCCCCTCCGCGTATTATTGGCAAAACATGGGAGAGGCTGCATGCCCATTAGAGCTATATAATATGGGAATGTACCCAAATGTGCATAAAAAACTAGGGAATACGTTTTCCCAGCTTCCCAGCGAATTCAGAGGGATGCCGAAGTGTTTATACCGTAAAGTTCCGAAAGAACGCCCACTGAAAATGAAGAGATAAATGGTGAAAAACATGGGGTGGGCTATCTTTGGGAACGCCACAGAAAAACTATCAAAAACCGGCTACAAACCACGTGACGCGGGAACTGATACCGCAGATCGCGGACACCGCAACTTCGTGTTTCACGATGCGATAAACACGTGGGAATTCGCTACGAACTCCTGTGTCACGGGAAAGGATATCGCAGCTTGCGGACGCAGCACATTCACATTGAACGGTGCGAAGGACCCGCGGAAATCTAATGAGAACTCACATCTCACGGGAACGCATGCCGCAAATCGTAGACTCAGCAGATGCAAGTTTAATGGTGCAATAAACACGTGGGAACCCGCTACAAATTTGCTTGTCACGGGAGCCGATATCGCACGCGCAGATTGCGGAAAAAAAGGCAGGAATCCGCTACAAACTCATATGTTACGGGAAAAAATACCGCAGATCACGAATGCAGCAGAATCGTATTTCAAGATGCAATATACACGCGGAACCGACTCGCGTGGAATGGAGATTGCACACGCAGATCGCAAACAAAAACGTGGGAATCCGCTAAAAGCTTTATGTCACGGGAACGGATACCGCAGATTGTGGAAGCAGCAGATTCACATCTCACAGTGCAACATACATGTTGAAAAAACTCGCGTGTTATGGGAGCCAATATTGCGTGCGCAGGTCGCCGACAAAAACGCGGAAACCCGCTATAAACTCGCTGGTCAGACGTGAGAGTACAGCAAATTGCGCGGTTGATGCGATTCCCGTCGGACATTGCGTGACGTCTGACGAAAATCGGGGGGTGGACGATGTTTCGGAATTTTTATGTTACAGATATTTAGCCAGAAAAACAAGATGGGCAATCTCTCGGGGGCGGGCGTTCTCTTGGAACTTTACGGTACATCCAAGTATGAAATAAGTAGTTGCTTCGTTTCGCTGGAATGGCATATAGAACGGCGAGTAGAACTTGTGAAAAGAACTTGCGAGTAGAACGACAGGCAGAACAGCAGGTAAAACGGCGGGTAAAACGGCGGGTAAAACAGCGGGTAAAACGGCGAGCAGAACAGCCGGCAGAACAGGTTCTTACTTGTTGAATGTGAAATGTGATGTGAAACAGAGGGTAAAATGGCAAGTACAACAGCAGGTAGAGCGTTGGGTATAACGAGACATACAAGGGTGACTAAAACGACGGGTAAAAATGTCAAGTAGAACCGCAAGTAAAACAGCAAGTAGAAGAACGGTGGGTAGAACGCAAGGCACAACGGCGGGTAGAACCGCAAGTAAAACGACAGGTAGAACAGCAAGTAGAACGGTGGGTAGAACGGGAGGTAAAACGACGAGTGCAACGGTGGGTAGAACGGCGGATAGAACCACAACTAGAACGGCAGGTGGCATGGCAAGCATTTCATTGCAAGATCACATAGTATTTTCAGTTTTCTCTGGCAGAAATGTTGATGTGTGATGTGGGAATACCCGATTCCCAGTCCGCCACAAGGTCAGTTTTACAGCACGCACAATAGTTAGGTACCATGAGCGTCGATGCAAGTGGCACCTATTGTGCTGAGAAGCGGGATCCTGCCAAGACCACGCTTCTCCTTGCACTCATTCTTCGAGAAAGCAAACGAAAGGTCTCCGAGGTCTGCGCAGGTGACTGTTCAACAAGACCTGTGGAAACATGCGGTGAACCCCACTCCCAGGGGCAACTGCCGGTCAGTGTTTGGGTGACAAGCAATATGTTGGTTGGATGTCTGAAGCCTACCTGCACTAACCATCGCATTCAATTCTCTGGAAACAGGTCACATAAGGCATGTTGCCGATTTGATACATTCCATCTGGAGTTTTCTTTATAGTAACGATTCATGTTGGCAAAAAATTCGATCCGCTTGCATACATATGGTGTTGGGAGAAAAAATAGCTGGAGGGGCGATCGCTTACTATCGTCGTGACATGCTGCAGGGTGGAAGTTTTATAGTCGGCTTCCACACCAGACGCACCCCTACGCCCCTGAAACCTTCAAAGTGTTCAGGTTACATGGGGAAACCGTCATGCAGTCCAGATATACTCGGTTTTGTGCTTAGACGGGGTTTGCATACAGCACCTTTTAAGCTCTTGATGCTCTGACCATACCGTTAAGTGCAGCGCAAAAAAAAAAAAAATGTGGGCACAAGCGCAATGCAACGTCTCAATAAGATTTGCCTCAATTGAAGAAAGCAAGGATCTGTGCCAACATTTCAGAATAGTGGCTATGTCATCACATATTAGCCACAAAACAAATTGCTTGCAAATAAAGAATTTATGTGGGACATGACATGAAAAAAAAACCTGGAAATGCAACAAATAGACTGAAACTAGGATTC